TTGTGTTTTTTCACAGCACCAGTGTTTGGGTTGGTCTCAATTTTTTAAATGAAAATATTACTTTTTCAGTAAACTTTCTTTGAGTCAAACCCTGCATTTTATAAGTTTCTATATAAAATGTCCAGGTTTGAGGGAGAAGTGTTTATAATTTGATTTTACCTATGGATTCTGTGTTTTTTCAGACTGCTATTACTGACAATGTTTTATATGAACTTTCTTTTGCTGTGCTGGAGTTGGAACTCAGGGTGTCTCCTGCTTGGTTAGCAAGTGTTTTTAAAGCTGAGCTGTATACTAGCCCACAGATAAGAATTCCCGTGATAATGTTATAACCAAGCTGCTACTTCCTCCTTAGAGTATGAAAGATTATTTTCTTTATTATTTACATTTAGGAATTTCAGTCATTAATCAACATCTTCATACCTGTGTATATATCCTAACCCTGCCTGGGTCTTAGACCTTTTACTGTTTCAGCAAGTATGTGTTCTTTCACTCAGTAAAGTTTTCTGTTGTTCGTTACTTTTATTTAATTATTTTCCTCTTTCTGAAACCTTTATTTTCCAAATATACATTTTCTATTCTAATTCTCTTATCTTTTAAGTCACTATTTCCTTTTCTTTATATTTTTGTTTTATATAAAGTGGTTCTTCCACTTTAGATAATACTTCATTTAAATATTCTCTATATTTTTTCCTCTTAACTTTTTAAAATATTTTTTGGTGCTATATTCTGTAACTTGCATATTTATAGCCAAGTCTTGGTTTTAATTAATTACATTTTAATTTAGTTGCATATAATATTTGTATATATTTACTAAATACAACAATTCATGTAATCATTGAAGGTCATCAACTCAAGGTAATTAGTGTATTTTTCACCTTAAAATTTTGTTGCTAGAATAATTATGTTGAAAATTCTATCTTTTAACTATTTGATATATACAGTGCATTATAACTATATTCACCATACTGTGCCGTAGAACACAAGAATCTATTCCTCCTATCTAACTGTATCATTGAACCTATTGAATGGCCTCTCTGCATTCTTGCTACTTCCTCTTCTCCCCAATTTTTATTCTGCTCCCCACATATATGATATTAATTTTTTAAGCTATGAGATTATACAGTGTTTGTCTTTCTACATCTGGCTTATCTTAACATAATGTCTTTCAAATCTCACTATTTTATAAGAATTTCATAATTTTTACAGCTAAATAGTATCTTTTCATTTTCTTTAATATTGTCGATTTTGTGAATAGTGTTTCGATAAACCTGGAAATGCAAGTATCTTCTTGACATGCAAAAAACACCTGTATAGAAAAAGAAATAATCAGTATAACCATGGGATAGCTACAAGATGGAAGAAAATTCTTGCTAACATATAGTCTGACAAGTTATATGTTACATGACTGTTGTCCCCGTTAGGGAAGTTGGCAGTATATACCTCATTCCTCCTAAGATCCTAATGACAAACTAAAGTTCAATTCCATCAAACTTTCACCATGAATAATCAGTGAGTTTGCTAGGCTTCATAGATGGATCCCCTTCCTCTACTCTTCCCCAATTTATATACTGTAGCACCTCTTAGATACCCCAAGGGCACATGCAATCAAGGGTAGAATTACATAGACCCATGTAGTCAGATTTTTCTTTGGGCCACCAGCTCACAAATGATGACTTGGATACTTATTATTAATTATGAAAGCTTGGCTTTAGCTTAGGCTTGTTCCTAACTAGTTCTTATAACTTAAATTAACCCATATCTATTAATCTACAGTCTATTTCATAGCTCAGTTACCTTTACTCTGTACTTTCCATCCTGCTTCCTCTGCTTCTGGCTGTTGACCCTGCCTTCCTTCCTCCCAGTGCTCTCTCTCTACTGGGAAGTCCTGCCTATCTCTCCTGCCTAGCTATTGGCCATTCAGCCTTTTATTACACCAATCACAGCAATACATCTTGACAGTGTACAAATATCCCACAACAATTCCCCCTTTTTTTCTAAATAAAATTACATGCAGTAAGAACAATTATCAGATAAGAATTATATTTTTAATATCCAGTCCATTTGTATTTGGCAAATTTGGAGAAATTACATTATTATGTATCCTATCTTGATGGGTCTAAAGTTTTATACCTAAAACATTTTTTATTATAACTTGCATTACCATCCTAAAAATACCTTTTTAAACCTTAGCACATTTTTAGATAAACTATTTAAGTTTTTATGTCTCTCAATCTTATTTTACATCATTATGCAAGTTTCTTTTCTGAATTTAGTAACAAGGAAAACTATAACAATCTAGTCTTTCAATCCCCATGAGAGACCCAAGAAGTATAAAATATTACTTAATTAAACAAGAAGTGCAGAACAAACAACTTGCAAAACTATAGGAATTACAGAAACAAACATCAATAAAGACAAGTAGCCCAGGTGATCCAGCCTCTCAGAATGCCTCTGTTGCAGGTTCCTCAAAATTCTTCATCCAAAACACCTTCAAAGCTGCTAGCTGAGATGATCCAGCTTCACAGACTATCCAATCAAGACTTCAGATAAGCTCTACACTTTCCAAAAACACGGAGACTAAACAAAAAATAATACAACCAGCTCTCCCAGGACTTGAGCATTATCCCAATTTTCTCAGGGTGCCCTAAAAATGCCATTGCCCCCCAGACAACAGGAAGCAGTCTAGAGGACACAACACCCACATTCCCAAGAGGTGGAGTGGGTGGTTTTTGGTTATTCAGTGTATTATGGATGTTTGTCATTGTTTAGCAGGAGTTGGTTGCAACTTGTTATTGGTCATGGTCAGGAAAAAAGCTGAACAAAAGAGATAAGATTCAGGGATCTCTTTCTGAAGGGAAAAGGGGGGCATATAGTATAGAAATTATGGGATAAAAGGGTGGATTGTTGAGTCTACTTTTGAACAACTACTAGTCTCAAATATTTTACATTGGTATGGATTTTTGTTTATTGATACAAATTTAAGGTTATTTTTGTTATACTGTATAGATATTTTATTATTGTTTAAGGTACTGTACCTATGCAGCTCACTGAAAAATGTAATATAAAGTTTTAGTTCTTGAGTGCTATTTAGAATAATAAAAAAATACAGGTTAATCGTTAGTCATCTATAACAATCAATAATATTTTATCCTTCTTGGGTCTCTCACGTAGATTGAAAGCCTAGATAGTTATAGTTTTCTTGTCACCTGCATGTATGTATATGTACATACATATTAATTTTTTAACATAATTTATTGATTCTTTGGGAATTTCACACCATGCTCCCCAATCCTATTCATTTCCCAGTCCTTCCACATCTGCCCTTCACCCATGTAGTGCCTCCCACAATTATTTTTGAAATAATAAAAATAAGATAAAACATTAATAAAATACAGATAGGAATTTTAATTTTAAAACAAACAAAACAATCAAACCACAAACAAACAAACCACTTTGCTTGTCCTTCTTTCCCACCTCTCCATTGCCTCCTCATTCATCTTAGTAACATTGGGAGCTGCAGTGGTACACCCTTTTGTCCAAACAGCTTTACTTGCAAATGTTCCTTATGTAATGTGCTGTTGGTCACATTCAAGGCCTCTGGCTTCTGGTACACCATCAATACTGGATGCTCACCAAATCTCCTCTCAGACATCCTGCTGTTGCCCTGAATCATGGAGATCCTGCAGCTATGATTCTGCAGGACCAGTTCCTTCACACACTTCAGCAGGCACAGATGGGGTAGAAGTTGGGGAGTGCCAACTAAAAGCCCTGAATGTGTGCCTGGGTAGTAGCTGAGCTGGTCTGTCCAGGCTGCTGGGACCACCCCACCTCAGGCAATGGGTAAGGCCAGCTTTCCAAGTGGGAGGACAGCTCTCCTATTAGGAGGGGGGCCAGCTCTCCCCTTCTGAGGTCATGGGGGCATCCTCTATCCCAGGGCCAGTGAGGGGTGGGGCCAGCCCTGAAAGGCCCTTGCACCTCAACACATGGTTCAACAAATGGTTCATATGGGTCCCTGTGTCAACATGGGCAGCATACTAATATTTTTATTTCTAAACTAGCATATAATGTGTTTGGTTTCACTATGGCATTTTCAAACGTAATTTGTTTTTGTTGACCCTCTTCTCCCAGTCTTCTTACCCACACTCTAGTCTCCCTTGTTCTCTTCTACACCCAGTAGTCTCTTTCCAGCTTTCGTGTAACATATATTCTATTACTTCTTCCCTTCCTCAAAACTTCATTTTTCCCTTCTCCTGGTTCCTTCTCCAATTTCATGACTTAGGCCCACATACTCACATTAAAATCTAGGCTCCACATACAAGAGAGACCCCTGAATACTTGTCTTTCTATATCTGGGTTACCTGATTTTAATATAATTCTCTACTATCACATATTTTCTGCAAGTTTTATAGTTTTGTTTTACTTAATGAAAGTCCATTGTGAATATATATCATATATTCATTATGTACTCATCAGTTGATGGGCAGCTAGGCTGTTTCAATTTCCTGGATATTATGACTAGAGCAGCTATCAGATGAGCATGTATCTCTGTAGTAGGATATAGAGTCCTTTGGGAATTGGGCCTAGGAATTTCAGTCTTATGGTAATTCTATTTTTAATGTTTTGAGGAGCCTCCATATTGATTTCTACACCATTTTATGCTCTTGCCAGCAGTGATTAAGAATTCATCTTTCGGGTGGGCTGGGGGGAAGGTGAGGGGGGCAGGAGGGGGGAGAACAAGGGAATCCGTGGCTGATATGTAGAACTGAATTGTATTGCAAAATAAAAAAAATAAAATAAAATAAAAAAAACAAAAAAAATAGCTCTCATCTTAAAGGTAAAAAAAATAAGAATTCATCTTTCCCAACATCTTTGCCATCATTTTGTTTCAGGTGTTTTGATATATTTGTCTGATAGCTTTGAAAGGAAAGATATGTTCATTTTTACAGTGCATACAGGTATCTGTTTTTCAAAACAAAGTTCAATTTTCTTTTCTCTTGTAGGCTTTGAGATTTCTGAAAACCAGAAGAGGCAGGCTGCAATGACTGTGAGAAAAGCCTCTAAACAGAAAGGTACATTTGCCTTTGCTCCTTCAGACCCACTCACTGTATGTATGAGACTAGGAAACCAGGCTATGTGTTTTCACATTCCTTGGCTCCTTTCCATACTGAGGTTCACTTGGAATAGTTTCCAGCTACCCAGGTATTCTTGACAACAGGTAACAAATGCTCTTGTGTTTTAATTCTTGGGAGTAAATGGTGTGGGGTAGTCATATCCATGTTATTGGCTGCATAAACAAAACAAAATAAAAACCATTGTCTTTGTTTTTACTTCAAAAGCACAAAAACTTTACGAGTAATTTAGAGAGAGGCAGGCAATAGTGCATGTATATAATTGATTTAATAAATATAAATATATAGGGATATGCTCTCAGCTTTCTTTCAGTTGTCTAGAAATGCTTTCCTAATCAGTAGCCCCAAACCAAAGTGAAGAGCCTCAAATTGAAAGAAGATGGTCTTTCTCTGAGGCATACACTGAAAATATCTTTGAAAATTTAAAATACAAACAGAATCAACTTAAATATGAGATCGTTTTTCTTTTCTTTTTCATGAACCAGAACAAAACTAAAGTGCTCAGTTGAGCAAAAAGAAGGAGCTACCTTCCACTTACTAGAGTGTCTACTTAGTATCAAATTTAATTTCTTTCATTTCATCTTTATAGTAACCCAAAGAAAATGGCACTATTAGCCCCTGTTCCAGGTTAAGAAACTGAAAACATTCAAGGTAAAGTGATTTTTTTAACCTAAGTCGTCTTGATTCTGAGACTACTGCTCTCTCCTCTTCATCTCAGGGTCCTGATGATGATGATGATGATATCTCTTGTTTGAAAGAAGAGCTCATTTTATTGTCTCATCTCAATTACTGGCAGCTATTTTTATTACTGGCAGTATTTTCACTGTCCCCAGGATTGGATAATCATAATGAGACATCATTTTCCCCAGCCCTTTCCTTCTGCTCTCATTAGCTCTCATTAGTTCTGAATGAATTCTAGAAATGATGGAGGGAAAACTGATAAAAATCGGTCTAATGCAAGTTTCATTAGAAAAGTAATCATCTTGTGTCGCCCTCTTCCATGGTATTTGTACACCACGGGATATTATCAACCATCTATTTTTCTGAGGGAAGGGTTATCTGGCTGATAGAGAGACTTTTTCACTTTCCTTTTTTTTACTTTCTTCTGTCTTGTTTTCAGAATTTATATATAACTTCTTGGGGTTAAATACTAATTCCTGATATATCATTGCAATTGAGTTTATCAAGACAAAAGATGTCAGAATCATAAACACAACCTCCATCTTCATAAGCTTTAGGGCCAGGTAGATATCAGATTAATAATCTAGAATAAATAAAACAATCTTGAAAACTAAGAACAAAATGGAAGTAATTTATCTAATTGCAATACTTACTATATAGATACATTAACTGAGGCATTAGAGATAGTTTAATGGAAAAGAATTCCGAAATAGACCTACACACATATATGTGGCTTATTTTTGACAAAGACAGAACAGCAGTTCAGCAAAAAGTAAAAAAGTGCAACCTTTTCAACAAATAGTGTTGAACTAGATTTCCATACACAAAATAGAACTTTGATATAGGCCCACACCTTGTATAATAATTAGGTAGAAATTCACTGGGAAATTAAATATCAAGCTATAGAGCCCTAAGAAAAAGTGTAAAAAGTCTTTAGGATCTAAAGTAAAACAAGGGAGTTCGTAGATTTGACACCAAAAGCTTGAAACAGCAAATGGAAAATAGAAGTTGATAAAGCAGGCCTTCCTCCCTGACAGCCCTGTATTAGTTTTGTTAGTATCTAACACCATTATGCTTCTGGCACTTGCCACCTTTTAAAAAATGGCTCCAGAACCTAACTCTTCCTATGAATGTGCCAATGGCTGATGATTGATTAATATTATAACTACTGTCAGAGTAGTTGGATTCCTTGAATCCCCCACTAATGTGAACTTTGGTGTGGTGGTTGCAACCCCCCTCCCATTGAAGCTGTGCCTTTTTAAAGCTAGATTCCATTTTTCCTTTATTTCTATGAATCATGTCTTCTGATGATGAATTTCCTTTCTGCTTTAACTACTAAGGTCAATTTTCTATTAAATACAGGTTTGTCATTGTCAACCCAAAGCAAAACACTAGATCACTTGTTCCTTAAGCATTATGGAAAGTCCTGAAGTCAGTAGTTCTTAACTAGGTTATTTTGACACTTTCAAGGAGTATTGGAGAGGAAGAGAACTAAAGTCTAGAAATAAAAGGAGTTTGTTAGGTTCTTCAGAGGAACAATCCTCAAATCAGGGATTATGGGCTCCTAGAAAGAACCCCTTAACCAAGAGGTCAACAAATGTGGGTTCTAGTTCTTGCTTTGTTGCTAGATGAGCATGAGACCTTAGGTACAATATTTCTCTCTGATCCTTGATTGTCATGTCTGTCAAACAAGTGATAGAAACACTCCAAATTTTTTGGTGATACCCGATGAGATGGTGAAGGATGTGGTGTTATAGAAATATAGATACCAGTGCAAATATGACAGGGAAAGAAATAATTTGCAGTACTGGCTGATGATCCATTACCCAAAATGCTTGGTACCCAAAGGACCTTAGATTATAGAGCTGTTTGAATTTTGGAATGTTTGCATAGACTTTTTTGAAGAGCTTTAATATAGAAATCTTAGAAGGTCCGAAATATGAAAGTTTCTGCTTGCTAGTAAGTTTTGGATTTCAGAGTATTTCAGTCTTGGGGGTTAGGGATATTCAGTATGTTACCAGGTTACTCTCAAAACTAGAGTACTATGAGAGATCATTGGTTAATTTGAGAGCCCACTTGGTACTAAATTTATATTTTTTTCCTTTTGATCTCCTTATTTTCTCTAGGTGTCAACTCTGCCCGCTCAGTTCCTCCTTCCTACCCACCACCACAGGACCCGTTAAACCAGGGCCAGTACCTGGTCCCCGATGGCATCGCTCAGTCTCAAGTCTTTGAGTTCACTGAACCGAAACGCAGCCAGTCACCATTCTGGCAAAACTTCAGTAGGTTAACCCCCTTCAAAAAATAATACCTATAGGAAGGCAGATAATTTTAAAATAAATAAAATTATATTTATAGATGGACCTTTTTTTCGGAGAAGCACTGTTGAAAATTTATATATATATATATATATATGTGTGTGTGTGCGTGTGTGTGTGTGTGTATGTGTGTGTGTGTGCGTGTGTGTGTGTGTGTGGTGCACATACACACACACACACATATAGACCTTTAAGTATACACGTGTGTGTGTGTTGGCATGTGTGCACATATGCATGCACATGCATGCACACATACATACATATACACACACAGAGAAGGACCAAAACCATTTTCTGTTGTTTTGGGACATTGAAATCTGTAGTTGGTAAGAAGTACCACTGACTTCCAAACATGTGATCACTTCTTAAAATGTTTAGTTCTTAACCTTGCTCCCCTCCCCCTTTCTTTCAGAAACTGAATTTCTCTTTGTTCTTTTTCCTGTTAAGATAACCTATTCACTCCTCTGGTTCACTGACCTGTCATTACTACCATAGAATATTTGCATTGTTTTATTTCCCTTTCCTGATGATACTGATGCTGATACCTTTTGCATTTACTTTATGTGGTGGGTTTGGAATTTCATTTCTCTCTCTGTCACTTTCCACTAAGAAGGGGAGGATTCCCATCTCCTGTCCCTCATGCAACCATATGCAAATGTTCCTGTAGCCCTGCGGTTATACCAGCAGCCTTTCCCAGCATCCTGTGTCCACAGTTGTACCAGTCTAGACATGCTCTGTTGTGCCCTGTGACTTATCTGCTTGGTATTTCTATTGCTTTCACTGTTTTAGGTATTGTGGAAGGATATAAAACCAAACAGAAACAAAGGAAAATAAGAATGTAATGAGGGTAGAGAAGGCTTCTGTTGGGGGGATATTTTTTACTTAGATGATTTCTTCTAGCATTGAGGATTCCCATGTAACAGCACTGCTCTCATTGAAGGTTTTTGTGTAAGGGTTGATCTCTTTTTCAAGCCCCCTTTATTATGAGTCTCCTTTTCAGCCTGTCTCTTCCCTGGTGAAAGATTTAACTAAACTGGAAGCAAAGAAATTGAGACTCTGCCTCCTGGGGAAGAGATTTATCTCCACCCCCACAGCCCATACCTAATAGGTAGGTGTCAGGTAGGGCTCTCTTTATAGCAGTCATTTAAGTGTTCTGATCAGCCCTGCTTCTGTTTTCAGATTCTTAAGGCATCACTGTTAGAAGCTTATGGAGGGGTTCAAGACAAAACCTGAAAAGAGTCCAGGATTGACAAGAATACAGGGAAAGATGGGAGCTATCAGGGAAAGAGACAGGCTTGATCCAAGATAATATACCTGTAGTTACTACCACTGAACTTATGAGAAACATTCCCAATTGTTAGCACATTGCATGGATAATCTTCTCTGTCTCCTTCCTTGCCCGTACTCTCTCTTCCTGGTAGAGGATTGTGAGTATTGGCATAATTACAGCCATTCTGGCACTTGAAGTAGGCCTTCTTTCTGACATACTCCCACCCCAGGACAACTGAGGTTAGTGATAGAGAAGCCTAGAGCTACTTTTACCTCTGGGAAAAGAAGATCTGAGGCAGAACACTGAAGTTAACGCTTGGCAGGTTTTCCATTTGACCAGAACTTTCCCAACAAAAATCAGAATCCCCATGAGTACAGAAGTACTTATTTCTCCTTGTTATATAGCCCTTTGTGTGGATAGACCCTAGGTAGTGAGGATAATGGCATATAAAGAAGTGGGAAAACCCACCCTATCCAGAATCTGAAGATTGAGTCTGTCCTGGACCTCACAGGAATAGACGTCATCATGAAGCTTACCAAGCAGCAGCCATAGCTATATGAGGTCTTCAATAAAGCTGAATTGGATACTTCTTTGTGCTTCCTGACCTAAACTAAGCCCTACCCAGCTCGAGAATCTTTTCCCTATAGAAAACAAATTACAAGTTGTTGAAGCTTCTATTTAAGTCAGACTTTTTATAGTTATCAAAGCTAGCTAGCAGAAGACCAGGGCTCGGGACTGGCTATCACTGCTCAGCACATGTCAGAGCTACTTATGCCCTTATGGCAAGAGATCTGGTATCTAGCACTTAGACTACAATGTTCTCCTTGGCAAACTGAAATATGTTTCACTTCCTATGCAGGCCTCCCTTAGTGTACCTTCTTTTCCTACTTTCTTTCCTACTTTCTACCCAGCCACACTTGGCCTTGGCAACTTTCTCCAGGGATTATGGGCACACCATGAGGGTTGCTTTGGAATGTTGCTAGATCTTAAGTATCTTTTGGCCAGACCCTGTCATTCTCTTCCCCTTTCTAACTCTAACATTCAAGGCTATAGGATCAGGGGTATCACCTCTCATCACCCTGTTTCTCCATCCAATCCACTGGCCTTACAATATGTAGTAATTTGTGAAGGCACTACTAATTCTGCTCTCCTTTGATTGGAATGCCCCACCCTACCCCAACACCTACGGCTCAAAGTAGATCAGTGGCCAGTAGCCCAAAGGGAAACCCATAAATTACCTGGACTCAGTATATAAACCTGTTGTATTCCCACAGCCATGTTATCCCTCCAAATTCTATAATTCTCCTGTTTCTGCATGGCCCTGTACTGCCCTTCCCTCAACACAATAAGGCCTGAATTTTCTTCCCAAAAGGGCTTTGCCAGTTTCTTCTATGAGTTCTACTGTAGGGAGGTCCTAATACAGAAATACAATTTTTCTCTCCTTCTCTCATTCTCTTTCTATGTGTATATCTTTAATTGATCTATTAAGGAGAGCAACAAGAGAGTTCTAACAATTCTAGTATGAAGCCAAATAGTGATATTTTAGTGCTTGGGGGTGGGGCGGGCTGGGTGACTAGATGGGCAACAGTGATTTTGACTACCCCTGCTGCTCTGCATTTGCCAGTTTATTCTTTTGTTTCTATTATCTGACTGTTTGACCCTGTCAAACAAGTGTCAAAATTGTGTATTTGGAAATGTTTAATAACAACAAAAAAGATGTTGTAATGACATAAAGCCTTATGAAAATATTTATGGAGTTCAATAAAAGAAGTAAAAAGACTTTCAGGCACAGTTGTTGTGCAATTTGTGTGTGGGTCTGTGTGTGTGTGTGTGTGTGTGTGTGTGTGTGTGTGTGTGTGTGTGTGTGTGGTGTGTGTATGTGTGTCTGTCTGTCAAATTGCAAAATAAAGGCAGTTCGTGTGGTGTGAGACTACTTGCTCCAGTTATCTTGAGCCTGTTATTTCATTTCCCGAGCATTCCATGGGCTATTGGGAAACATTTTTCTATCACTTCTGGAAGAGCAGAAGACAATAACACAGTTTGAGCCTGTAGCCATGAGCACTTAAAATGTTTTTATGGCTAGGACTGTCTTTCATTTTACCTGGTACTTTGCTAAAACCTAATGGCCCATTCCTAACATTGCTCATTTTCCTTGTATCTGTAGTTCTAATATCCACCCTGGGTATTTGAGACAGCTACAACATTGCATTTTTAATGCAGTCAAGGCCGTAACACTTAGGATATCCCACTCCAGGTTCCTTATTAAACTTGTGAATTTGTCTCCTTAAACGTAGACTTTCTTTAATTGTCCTTGTGTGAGTACAGTGATCTCCTTTATTATGTATTGCCTTTATTATTTATTGTCTGTATGTACATATACTTTGCTTCCTACTAGGCCCACACATAACATGTCATGTTGCCTGTCAGAGGTCCACATGAGTAAGAATGTCTCATAGCCTTGCTCCAGAGTGATAGAACACTTGCGTTAGTAGGATTCTTATTTACTGAAAGACTCCAGAAAATTCTTCAAAATATCTCAAACATGAACTCTGACCATGCAGGCCTTAGAAGTGCCCTCCTACACTGAAGCATTTTAAAAAGTGATAATTCAAGCCATCCTTACCTTTTCTAACTTTTGCTTTTGTCCATATCTTAGATCTTCTCATTTATCCCATTCTTCTGTCACCATCCTATCTTTTTTTACCTGAGTTCTGTCAACTCTCTCCATCCAAATCACCAAGATTTTGCCATTCTTTTTATAGATTACCAATTCCCAGCTTCCCCAGATTCCAGGATTTAAATTGTAATTACTTCTTTCTGAGTAAGTGGGCAACATCTGGTTTCAGTCTTCCTAGACTACCTCTTAGGAGCTTTAGACATGGGAAGACAAGTGACAAGGAGTTTATTAGCTGGATTTGACAGGGGAAGACAGAGGCTAAAAGTGACTGGCTAGGACTACCTACCGTCTTGAGTTTTCCTCGCCTGACCTCTCTCTCCACCTCCACTGAATGTGATTTAAGAGTTCTTTTGTCTTAAGTTTTTGGTGCCACAAGGGAAGGCAAGAATGTGGAATAAACTGATACCAACAAGTATATGATTATTTTTTGTGCAGTCATTAGTAGATCCATCTCTTAAATTTTTTAATCACAGCCTCATTAACAAACAAAACCAACTGCAGTTCCACATCATTTTGTCTCTAGAACCAAGAACAAGTGGGCAGAGAACCAAGGTCTCCAATGTGGACTTTGCTTCACTCACTGTTCCAGTTACTTAAACCACCACTTTGCTTCCTAGTCCACTGGCTTTTGGACCGTTAGGGATTTCCTTATTCATATTCACCTATTCCCCCTGGTTCCCAGAAACATCTTTCTGACAAGGCTATTTTCTAACATGAAAATGCTCTTCAGATCTCCAACTCCTTTTTGCTTTATTGACTACAACATACTTCTTTCTCCTGGGCTGGTTCCACTCTGTGTTAGCAGCTCTCCTCAGCAGGTATCCCATGACTCTGACATCGCCCAACATCTTGGGGTCTCCAAGGCAATCCAGGCTTCAACTTCACAGCTTCATGCAATGGCCTCTCTGGGCCTCCTTGCAGGGACATCCCTGTCACTTGTCTGACTTCAGCAGCTTTCCTTCATCACACTGGGAGATTCCATAACCCATTTCTTCTATCCTTGACTCTAAAGCCAGAACAATGTAGCTGAAGCTTTTTCAGCTCCTTTTCTCCTCAAATTGTACATTTTGTACATCTCTTGTTAAGTGTCTTAGTTAGGGTTTCTATTGATTTGAAGAGACATGATGACCACAGCAACTTTTATAAAGCAACACCATCATCACAGCAACTTTTATAAAGGAAAAACATTTAATTTGGGTGGCTTACATTTTCAGAGGTTTAGTCCATTATCATTATGGTGCGACATGGTGGCGACATGGTTCTGGAGAAGTAGCTGAGTGTCCTACATCTTGATTTTTCAGGCAACAGGAAGTGGACTGAGACACTGGGTGGTATCTTGAGAATATACAAGAACTCAAAGCCCATCTCCAGAGTAATATATTTCTTCCAACAAGGCCACAACTACTCCAACAAAGCCACACTTCCTAATAGTGCCACTCCCTTTGGGGGCCGTTTTCTCAGCTTGTTCCTTTTCATTATAAATCTTTGTAAGAGTGACCACTAATAACCACATGACAGAGTCAATGCTAGGCTGTTTTGAGATTTCCTCTGCCAATAGAATTAATCCAAAACTCTTCACTTTAGCCTCAGGCAGACTCTTTAGACAAGGGTAAAAAGCAGCCACATTCTTCACCAAAACATCACAAGAACTATCTCTAGGCAACATACTAAAATTCTTCACATCTGAAACATCTTGAGCCAGCCCCGCACCATTCAAATCATTCCTACCACCACTGTTTTTCATGTTCCTACTAGTATGGCCCATTAAGCAGCACTTAAAGCATTCCACTGCATTCCTAACCCAAAGTACCAAAATCCATATTCCTCCAAACAAGCACATAGTCGGGCCTATCACAATACCCCAGTCCTTGGTACCAACTTCTGTTTTAGTTAGGATTCCTATTGCTGTGAAGAAATGCCATGACCATGGCAACTTGTATAAAGGAAAACATTGAATTGAGTGGCTTACAGTTCAGAGGTTCAATCCATTATCATCATGGTGGGACATGGTGGCATGCAGGCAGACATGGTGCTAGAGAGGAAGCTGAGCTTTCTATATCTGGATCCACAGGCAACAAAAAGGTCTTTCTCACTGGGAGTAACTTAAGCATAGGAGTCCAATACGGCCACACCTACTGCAACAAAGCCACACCTAGTAGTGCTACCCCTTTGGGGGCCATTTTCTTTCAGACCACCACACTACTCATCTCCAAAAAGGAATGAAGTACTGATGCATAATATAACCTTGGGTGAACCTTGAAAATATACTATATGAAAGAAGTCAAGGCCAACAAGATTTTGTGTAGCTAGTCTTTCTCTGTCCTACCAGCCAGCTCCCTAATCATGACCTGGAGACTTATTATTAATTATGAAATCTTGGCTGATAGCTTAGGCTTGTTTATAACTAGCTCTTATAACTTAAATTAACCCATATATTTTATTTTACTTTCTGCCTCATGGCTGTATTACCTCATCTCTATATTGTCCATCTTGCTTGCTCAGAGTTTCATGGTGTCTCCACCTTCTTCCCAGCGTTCTCTCTGCCCCAAAATTTCTGCCTAGCTATTGGCTGTTTAACTTTTTTTTTTTTTTTTTTTTTTTTGGTTTTTCGAGACAGGGTTTCTCTGTGTAGCTTTGCGCCTTTCCTGGGACTCACTTGGTAGCCCAGGCTGGCCTCGAACTCACAGAGATCCGCCTGGCTCTGCCTCCCGAGTGCTGGGATTAAAGGCGTGCGCCACCACCGCCCGGCTGGCTGTTTAACTTTTTATTAAACCAATCACAGTGACAAATCTTCATAGTGTACAAAATGATTGTTCCACAACAATTTTGTATGATTTATTCATGTAATATGTCTCCAATAGGAAAATCCATAGACAATAAATTAGTGGTTTTTCTGGGACACTAGCCAACAACTCTTTGTAATCTTCTATGTCAACTGGGATCCTTGGCCATAGCCTATTTGGTTTAACCACTGGAAAATTATAGGTGTGAATGCTGTGCAAGTTTGGGTTTCCATACAGTTTCTTTTTAGAAGGATAAAAATTATCTAAAATCAATTGTGATGATAGTTTGCTTAACTCTGATATTCTGAAAACAAACTAACTAACTAACTAACAAAAAACCCACTGAATTCTATAATTTAAAGGGAAGTGATGTAAATCGGTTTTGTTTCTTTGTGAAGAAAAAAATCATAACATACGATTTTTTTCTACATATAATCTTGAGGGATGCCTCAACAAAGCTTTTCAGTTTTGTCGCAAAGAGAAATTTCCATGTAATGGCCTGTACTTGCCCTAACATACTTATATAGGAAATTTTTTCTCAGATAAACAGCAGGCTTTCCTTTCACTGCTGTACCCAGGCTTTTAGCCACATTCTCTTGGTAATCTTCCACATCTGCTGGGATCTGTGGCACTACAATCTTTGGTTTGTCCACTGGAAAATTATGGGGGTGAAAGCAAGGCTGTCAAGTTCTTTTTTTTATTCAGAAAAAAATAGAGATATACTATGTTTTGTACATGTTTTATCTTTACATTAAGTCAGTTAACGAAACACCCTGGCATCCACAAAGTGACTCAGTGTGCTTGCCACCAAGCCTGTCAACCTGAGTTAAATACCCAGGCTCCACATGGTAGACAGAGAGAACCAACTTACACAAGCTGTTCTCTGACCTCCACATACAGTCCATGGCATGGATGTTCTTGAATGAAGGAAGGAAGGAAGGAAGGAAGGAAGGAAGGAAGGAAGGAAGGAAGGAAGGAAGGAAGGAAGGAAGGAAGGAATTGTTTTAGCTTTCCAGCACCTTATGATTCTTTAAGCTATAGGGTATATGACAAGTCATATAAGAAACACTCTGGAGCCTGTCCAACTGATGTAGACACCAAGTTAAGTTTTCTGCAGTCTTCAGCCTCCTTCCATTCTGGTAGCTGAAGCCCTGTGGCTGCTTGCCAGGCACTGCCACCTCCTCCTGGCCTCTCTCTTTGCTTTTGGGATTCACTAGATCCTAGCTTGCTCTCCTCCAAGGACATTCCAGCTTGCCCACATGGAACAGAGTCCCGGCTAAACTATCTTCACACTTCTTCCTGGCCTCCCTGTACTGAGGT